AAATTCACCCCATGTGTCCCCAGTAATCACTTTGGCATTCCACAGCAGTCACCTGAGCAGAGGGTGAGAAGCTGGAGGAGGAGAGGGGTCCAGGCCATGGTGGAGATGCCCCAGGCTCTGCTTCCTAAGCCCACAGTTGAGGAGAACTGTACAGAGTCTCTCTTATCCTCTCCTCCCAAGAGGGCAGAGAGCACCCTTCATGCAAATCATACCCCGCCCCCTGATGTCCTGGGCCTGAGCTTGGGGAAGGCTGAGTGTGGGGTGGGGTTAGGGGAGCCTCTTCTGGCCCTGGGAGGTCCCAGCTGCTGAAACAGGAAGCACAGAGCAGAGGGCCCAAGGCAGGGGTCCAGGGCCTAGGTTTCCAGTTGAGACCCCGACAGACCCTCAGGGACAGGCCACAGTTTCCTTCACTGTCTCAGAGCCCAGGTTCATTCCTCACTGGCTTGAAGGTCTTGGAGCAATGCTGGCCCTCAGCACTGTCTTGCACACACCATCCCCACACAGAGGCAGGGCTCATCCCCTCCACTCCCACTGCAGGCTCTTCGTGCTGCAGGGTGCTCATCACAGTACATTTCTCTCTTCAGAGATCCAGACTCCTTGGCATGAGGTCATCCTCTGCTTCTTCCCCATTTAGATTTTTGTGTGTTTGGGGACATAGGTGAGTGGCAATCAGAGAGAATATGTCCTGTGCCTAGTGGCCAGGAAGGCAGGGGGATTAATAACCCTCCCCAGCCTCCATATGAGTCTCAGGGTACCCACTTCTCTCTCCCATCACACTCCACATCCCCCATAGCAGGCCAAGCTCCATGACCCTCATCACTTGTCCCCATTAGACCCTCGATAGGCTGAGATCCTTCATAAAAATGAACAGGGAAATCATTCAACAAAAGATCGCCATTATTAAAGAGATAAAGGTCTGCTGCTCTTGTGGATATTTGGACCTGAGGAAGATGACCAAGAATACAATTCTCCCCAGAGGCAGGCAGGAGCCACAGACCAGAGAGGGGCCACCAGGTGACTAGGTTCCTGCACCAATTGGGGTGGACACATCAGGGTGAACTTGGAAATGGGGGATGTTAAGAGTAGAAGGGTTAGAGTTTTGTGGAAAAATCAGGAAAGGGACCCAGAACTTTCAAGACACCCTATCTAGGCCTTCTACACACAGTCTGATATTATGTAACAATTCAAATATTGTTTCTCTTTTGTTGCTCTTGTTGCCTAGGTTGGAGTGCAATGGCATGATCTTGGCTCACTGAAACCACCTCCCAGGTTCAAGCGATTCTCCTGCCTAAGCTTCCCAAGTAGCTTGGATGACAGGTGCCCACCACCACACCTGACTAATTTTTGTGTTTTTAGTAGAGACGGGATTTCACTATGTTGGCCAGGCTGGTTTCAATCTCCTGACCTCAGATGATCCACCTGCCTCAGCCTCCCAAAGTGCTGGGATTGCAGTCATGAGCCACTGTGCCTGGCCTCAAATATTCTTTTATAGCACTTACTTTGTGTTAGATACCATTCTAATTGTATCATGAATGTTAACATGATTATTTTTGCTGGGACCTAATACACAAGTGTAGTTTCAGCAGCCTTGTATGAGGTAGGATACATACAATAATTTCACCTAGATCTTGCATCGTGAATGTTAACACAATTATTTTTTAGGACCTAATCTACAAGTGCGGTCTCAGTAATATTGTATGCTGAGATAGATCATACACACACACAAACACACACACACACTACACACACAAAAACATGCATATGTTTATGTATGTGTTTAATGCTTTCATCTGCACGATTCAGAAAAAATTTAGTGTAGTATCTTTCATTGTGATCCACACAAAACAAAAAGATGCCTGTGACCTTGACAATTTGATTCATCATGGTAACACTAAAACCTCTATATTATTATTACCTAGTAGTCACTCAGTAAATATTTTTGAATTGGAAAATCAGTGAATATTTAAACACACACACACACACACACACACACACATTTCCACCTACCCCAACCCTGGGTTAAAAAAATATATGATGAAAATGTTGTTTCAGACTTTCTCTTTTATTTAATAATAATCTTTCATCTAAATTCTCAGCCAGTTTGTTGGGAGCCTGCTGAGATAGATCTGCTTTTCTCACACACAAGCTCCGAGTCCTCTCCAAGTCCAATGTATTCTACAGCATAAAGAGACCAGGAATCCACTCTCTCTTCTTTATCCCCACAGTAACTCACCTAGATCTTCCCACCAGGATGGCACTAGCAACCCCATCCTGTCTTCCTGTCCCAGGCCTCTCCATTCTGTTCTCACTACAGCTACAAAGTCAGTGACCAAATGCCAAAGTGAGTTCATCTCTTCCACGTCACAGCCCGTCCATGACTCTGTGTGCTTTTCTCTGGGGTCATCATGCTGATCTGCCCCAATCTGCACCTCCAGCTCTGCAGCCACCCTAAGTTAGAGGAGCTGGAAACAGAGTGACTCCATCTTGAATAGGGACTTGGTAAAATGAGGCGGAGGCACTCTGGGTTCCATTACCAGGAGGTTAGGCATCGGTAATCACAGGATGAGATGGGAAGTCAGCCAGACCAGACTGGTGTCGCAAGATACAGATCATAAAGACCCTGCTGACAAAACAGGATGCACTAAAGAAGCCAGCCCAAACCCGCTGGAGCCAAGATGGTAAGGAAAGTGACGTCTGGTTATCCTCACAGTTACAAACGCTATGGCAACATCCAGAAGTTACCCTATATGGTCTATAGTTTAAAAAAGAATTCCTGCAAAACTAATAAAAATCCACTTCTTATTTAACATATGATCAAGAAATATCTATAAAAATGGTCAATCGGCAGTGTTTGGTGCTGCCCTAAGGAGTAGCCATTTTTTTATTTCTTTACCATCGTAATAAACTTGTTTCCACTTTACTTTATAGACTCCCCCCAAATGATTTCTTGTGTGAGATCCAAGAACCCTCTTTTGGGATCTGGATCAGGACCCCTTTCCAGTAACACCTGCAGGGAGCACATCCTGGCCCCTTCCCTGCTCCAGTGACTGGAGGCACAGGCCAAGATAATGTCTCTCTTTGACCTGAATGACCAATGACCCATCTTTGGATTCTCATTTCTGCTTAGAAACTTCTGATCCTCACGCTCCACCCGCTGCATACCTGCTCATTCTGAAAGTCCCACATGAAACCCTACTTCTGTGGATTAGGCCTCTTCAGCAACTTGCCACCAGCTCTTCTCACTCCCATACCCACATACAAACCCTTTCCCATATGGATCTCCTGTTCTCTCTCTCTCTCTCTATCTCTCAGCTCCTGCTCAGTGTCCGAAGCAGATTTGGGACCACAAATACACTGCTGGCAGAGCTTTGCTTTTGTTTTTAACTGGGAAAATCTTTATAACGCCTTCAGATGAAAAGACACATGTGGATACTGGGGAGAGAATTCAGGGAAACATTTCTCAGGGGCCTCATCTAATGTTTCTGATGCAGGCTGGACTTTGAGGCCTGTCCCTACCTGTGCAGTGAGACAGGAGCAAGAGGAGGGAAGGAATCCAGGCCATGGTGGACACAGCTACTGACCCCACAGTGGGACTGGGCTGCCCTAGGCCTCCTTTTCTTCCTGCCATCTGCGGAGGAGGGGCTGCTCATGCCAATGTGTTTCCACTCAGGGACTGCCCAGCCCCTCCCTGAGCCCAGGGGTTGGAGCTCAGCTCACACTGCAGCCTGAGGAGGAGGAAGGCTGGCTTTCCCTCACTGGGAGGGCCCTGGAAGAAAGACCTGCTGAGACCATACACAGGTCCCTGCTCAGGGGACTCTGACAGGCCAGGGAGGATAGAGCTCCTTAGTCCCCATCAGTGAGCACGGGGCCCAGCTCCCAGTCTGGTATCCTTGGGGCGTGTGGTTCTTACCGAGCTGTGTCCTGTGCTGGTTACAGGACACACTCTTTTCCATGGCCCAGAGACCTGAGAGCCCAGTCTCTCTGTAGTTCACCATCCATCATCTCTGTTCACACATTCATCATCTGAATCCTACATCCTGTGATCCTGATATTGTATTTTATTATTGTAGTTTCTCACTCCCAGAAGGAATCTTGGTTTATATGTGGTACAAACTCATACAAGTATAACTTTTTAAGTTGTTTGGACCCCCAGAGTATATTCTGGAAAAAGTTAAATTTCCCACCTGTGCCATCTGGTCAGCATCATAGACGCTGTTACAGTTAAGATGGTTTGAAACCTGCGTAGGGGCTGTTCAGGGAATGGCACTGAATGAAAAATTCTCAGGAGATAAGGTTGGTGACCTTCTTAAAAGACAGCAATTCAGCAAACATTTCACACAGTGCTTCAACTCTAACAGCACACAAGCACTTGGAGTTTTGTTAGTGCTTAGATGTGATTTACGAAATAGTCATGGTCTTAGGAGGCATAATATTTACTAGCTAATAGTGTATTCATAATTTTTATTTTATGATATGAGCTTTATTTTCTAAAGTTTGTGGTTTTCTAAATAGTTGTTTTAGACATTTTACATCAGAATTTGGACTTAGTGTCATATAATTTGTTTACCTTTAAACATTTTTTAAAAACATGTATTTACTTTTTCTTTGTTAATTATGAAGCTAAGTGAGACATTTTAATGTGTTTGTAGATGTGTTGAACACTTGAACAGGAAATTTTAGAAATCATCACCTCCTCATCATACTTAATTTCCAAATTTACTTTAACTGTGTAAATGATCCCCCAGATTCTTAGCTCATGAGACTATCCAGTAATAACCTACACACAAAATCCCTTTCTTCCTCAGATACTCTCTTCCCAAACATCCAGAGAGATCTTTTTTATTCCTGTTGGGCAAGTCACCCCATATATCAAAATCCTGCACTGACTCCTCATTGCTGTTTGCATAAAACTCACACTCCGCAGCCTCCCTAAGGCCTATTCCTGGTTTGGTCCCTGCCGGGCTCACAGCCCCTCCTGTTGATAGGGGTTCCAGCCTTATTCACTTCTCTGTCCTGGGAATCCTGAGCTTCTGCTTCTTCTGTGATCTCCATATCAGCTGCTCCTCTGTCTGTTGGAAGGAGATGGGCTTCAATTGGAAATCAGGGTGGAAACTTATATTTTGGCAACCTAGAGAATTCCATCTGTGATACTGTGTGTATGTGGGGGGGGGGTAATTTTGAAGTTACACAAACTATAAAGACTAGTTCAACAAATGCTCCACAGGCATAGACTAGCCTCAACCATTCCACCTCTCATGCTAATCTCTCACTGAATGGTATTAAAACAAATTACAAATATCACATCACTTCACTGGTTTCTGCTTTACTATATGTATAATATTTTAATGTTTCCAAGCAGACACGTTGGAGTCATCTTAGATGCCTTCCTTTTCCTGTTCCATACACACACTTAAGCTTTAATTCTTTCCAATTACTCTTTCATTCTGGATTGTAAATTGCTAATTTCCCTTCTCCACTGTCACAGCTCTAGCAAGTATATTGTCATCTCTCTGTGAATTATTGTCTTTGATGCCTAACTAGTCTCCCAGTCTCAGATGTCAACTCAGTTTACCCTTTAATCCACTCTCCACTTTGTACCTAGAGAGCTCATAAATGCCAGAAGATGACACTTCAATGACTCCCATGGCCTCTGCGGTCAAGCACATGCTTTCTGGGATACAACCTCTTAATGATCCATTCATATCCTTCCTTTAGGTTATCCAGACTCACCAAGAGTGGCTTCGCCTGACCCTGTCCCCACTGAGATCTGCCACACTTAGGGCCAATGCAAGCTCTCTTAATAAATAGAATGAACAGCCGTATATTCTTTTTTATAAATATTATTGACAAAGGCTATTACCAATACCTGGAACATTCCACCATCTTCCCTTATAGCTCATTTTCATTAATTCTAATGGCATTGTAGCAGATATCACTTCTTGAGGTCAGGCTTCAGTGTTCCAAATCCTTCCCAACCACAAGCTCTCAGGAATTAACTCCATAGTACCCTCATGGTAACCCTTAGCTCTCCTCAAACAGCTGAGTTCAAGGACTGGTAGAAACAGGAGGAGATGAGGCTCTGGATATAGGCACAAGCTAAGAGACTCAGTTCTAAAACTAAAGAGGAAAGTTGTGTTGGGGCATCACTGTTTCTGTGCCAGGGATGACAGCAAGGAAACAACACAGTTAATGTTAGATAATCTACATATTGATCCCTGCTCACTACGTGGAATTGAAAGATAGTCAGGAAAAAAGGCAGGTAAGTGGTGATTCCTTCGGCTATTCCAGCAGCAATCTCAGTTTCTTCTGAAACTAAACCAGAGGCTAAGCAGATGAATCTAGACTCTGTCCTTTATCTCATTATTGACAATGTATGGAATGCCTAATATCACAACCCCAAAATATTTAGAATTGTGTTGCATATAAAATGTGTCTAATGAATAATTCTAAGCATTAATTTGATTTATTGAGTTTTGTTAGTATTCACAACTTAGAAAGAGCCCCTTTAGGTAACAGCCCCTTCAAACACCACATAGCATCCATCAGAGACCCAGGCCACACTTTCTCACAAGCTCATTGGTCCATTCTTCAGGAGCGTGAAAAGGTCAGAGGAAGCTCCCAGGTTTTTATTTCATTTTGCCATGGGCCACAAACACAATGCAATCATCAAGGCTGCTTTCCTGTACTAGAGATAGCCAGTCTCAACCCCAGGCTGGAGCCCAAAGGAGGCCAAACTACCGGACCTGGAGGCAGGGAATCTCTGAGATCCCTGAGGTGAAGTTATTATTCCTAAGAGCAGGAGTTTGGGGACATATCCCAGGTGCTGCTGCAACCAAGCTGTTCCTGGGTGACAACACTGCGCTGCTTCCAGTGCAGGTGATTGTGACCTAATGTTCCAGGGGACCTGGTCACTGAGAGAGGCTGAGTCAGCCCTGCCTTGGACACAGACCCTGGAGGGTTGCGGAGACAGAAAGGAAAATGAGATGAAGGAGGGAGTGGAGAAGAGATGGGTGGAGCCTTCACCTCAGGGCAGGTCAGCCCTCACCTGTGCAGAAGGTGAGGAGGACAAAAAGGAGAATGGCTGGGTCATGGTGCAGTCATCCAGAGACCTGCATCCCAAGACTCCAGCATGGACTTGAAGTACTACTAATTCTTAGTCTCTACAAGTCCCAATGGTGGAGAATTTTTTACATTCCAATATGTCCCTTATCAAAGGAAAAAAATCAGGCAACCAAATTCACTATGTCAAAGGGAAAGTAAAACCTGAGAACCAAGTTATGCACAAACTGCCTTACTTGTGTTCACAGAAGTAGCTGCAACTTCACATGTTGACTTCATCTTATGTAAAATGTGGATTCACGGAGAGGCATGCATAGTTGACTTCCCCCCACTCATTTCTTTCCATATTTGAACTATAGATTCACTAAGCTCATCCAGACTCTTCTATCATTGCTTCCTCTAATCCTGTCTCTACTGAATGGTCACAAGAATGTTACCATTTGCCTCATTGCCTACTCCCCATCTGTTTTTTCTCCTGCTTTTTCCTTTTCTCTTTTCTTTCTTACTTACTCTTTCCCCTTTAAACATTGAAGTCCTCAAAACCCTCTTTGGAAAAAGCACAGGATGCAGATTCTACTGTGACTTGTGTTTCTTTTTCCCTCTAAATCAATTAAGATCTGCCTCAGTTCCTTTTTCGTTTACATCCTGGATCTTGATCAATGCCAGCGTCCCTCAGTCCAAGGTAATGCCTCTGTTTCCTTGAGGAGGAAGAAAAGGAAAAGAATTTCAACTGATCCAGGTGCCACAGAGTGAGAGCCTGGACCTTGATGGCCCATTGGTCCTGAGAGGTCCTGACAGCTGCAGTCACTTCACATCTCAGTTCAGTGAGCTCACTGGTCTCAGCTGGTCTCCAGCCTTCTGAAGGCCTTCCCTGGATGGCAGAGGCAGGCACACTCATCCTTTGAGACAACCCCATGCGCCCTCTGCTGGCCCCCTGTCGCCCTACATCCCCAGGACACAGCCCTACTGACTCACTGACAGTCTCACAGGTGTGACCCTGATTGTGCTGTTAACTCCCTAGATGATGGCGCTCAGGGATGAGATTGGGAGCCTGAAGGACTGCTCTTAGAGACCACGGGAAGTGACCTATTGAGGAGATCAGTGAGCAAGCAGTGTTCTTATTTACATTTAATTTCACAAAAGAAAACAAAAAGTATTCTTATGGGCCTCAGCTTCACCCAGTAGACTTTTTTATACAACTAAGGATAGGGAAACCATCACCTTTGTTCAGGAAGACGACTGCAGTTTACTTTTTAAACTGCTTCCAGGTATTGGTATCAGGATGATGTTGGTCTCACAAAATGAATTAGGGAGGAATCCCTCTTTTTGTATTGTTTAGAATAGTTTCAGAAGGAATGGTACCAGCTCCTCTTCGTACCTCTGGTAGAATTCGGCTGTGAACCCATCTGGGCCTGGACTTTTTTTGGTTGGTAGACTATTAACTGCTGCCTCGACTTCAGACCTTGTTATTGGTCTAATCAACTTCTTCCTGGTTTAGTCTTGGGAGGGTGTAAGTGTCCAGGAATGTAGCCATTTCTTGTTGATTTACTGGTTTATATGCATAGAGGTGTTTGTAGTAATTTCTGATGGTAGTTTGTATTTCTGTGGAATCGATGGTGACAGCCCCTTTAACATTATTGTTGTATCTATTTGATTCTTCTCTCTCTTCATTTTTATTAGTCTGGCTAGTGGTCTATTTTGTTGATCTTTTTATAAAACCAGCTCCTGGATTTATTTATCTTTGAAGGGTTTTTGTACCTCTATCTCCTTCCATTCTGCTCTGACCTTAGTTATTTCCTGTCTTCTGCCAGCTTTTGAGTTTGTTTGATCTTGCTTCTCTATTTCTTTTAATCATGATGTTAGGGTGTCAATTTTAGTCCATTCCTCACTTCTCATGTGGGCATTTAGTGCTATAAATTTCCCGCTAGACACTGCTTTAAATGTGTCCCAGAGATTCTGGCACATTGTGTCTTTGTTTTCATTGGTTTTGAAGAACATCTTTATTTCTGCCTTCATTTCATTATTTATCCAGTAATCATTCAGGAGCAGGTGGTTCAGTTTCTATGTAGTTGTGCAGTTTTGAGTGAGTTTCTTAATCCTGAGTTCTAATTTGATTGCACTGTGGTCTGAGAGACTGTTTGTTATGATTTGCATTCTTTTGCATTGCTGAGGAGTGATTTACTTCCAATTATGTGGTCAATTTTAGAGTGCCTGCCATGGGGTGCGGAGAAAATGTATATTTTGTGGCTTTGGGGTGGAGAGTTCTGTAGATGTCTATTAGGTCCGCTTGGTCCAGATCTGAGTTCAAGCTCTGGACTTCCTTGTTAACTTTCTGTCTTGTTGGTCTGTCTAATATTGACAGTGGAGTGTTAAAGTCTCCCACTATTATTGTGTGGGAGTCTAAATCTCTTTGTAGGCCATTGAGAACTTGCTTTATGTATCTGGGTTCTCCTATATTGGGTGCCTATATATTTAGGATAGTTAGATTTTCCTCTGGCATTGATCCCTTTATCATTATGTAATGCCCTTCTTTGTCTCATTTGATCTTTGTTGGTTTAAAGCCTGTTTTATCAGAGACTAGGACTGCAACCCCTGCTTTTTTTTTCTTTCCATTTGTTTGGTAAATCTTCCTCCATTCCTTTATTTTGAGCCTATGTGTGTCTTTGCACTGAGGGTCTTGACTCTTTATCCAGTTTGTTAATCTTGGTATATACCCAAAGGATTATAAAACATTAAATTATAAAGACACATGCACATGTATGTTTATTGTGGCACTGTTTGCAATAAGAAAGATTTGGAACCAACCCAAATGACCATCAATGATAGACTGGATAAAGAAAACGTGGCACATATACACCATGGAATACTATGCAGCCATAAAAAAGATGAGTTCGTGTCCTTTGCAGGGACATAGATGAAGCTGGAAACCATCATTCTCAGCAAACTAACACAAGAACAGAAAACCAAACAATGCATGTTCTCACAAGTGGGTGTTGAACAATGAGAACACATGGACACAGAAAAGGGAACATCACACACTGGGGCCTGTTGGGGGTGGAGGGGCTAGAGGAGGGATAGCAGAGGGTGGGGGATTGGGCTGGGATAACATTAGGAGAAATACCTAATGTAGATGTTGAGGGGACAGATGCAGCTAACCACCATGGCAAGTGTGTACCCATGTAACAAAGCAGCACGTTCTGCACATGTACCCCAGAACTTAAAGCAGAATAAAAACAATTGCTTTCTGGTTTCTTATTCTCAAAGTCACCCTCTCACTTCAGTTGTGACAGTCGCTGCAGGTGTTCCCTATCCTTTTGGCCTCTGTGAATTTGCTGATTGTGGACATTTTTTTACAACTATAGCAATAATTGTATATTTTTGTTTGCTCCATTTATGGAGCATCAGTTTTCAAGGTCCATCTATGTGGAGCATGTAGCAGCACTTCATACTTTTTATGCTTCAAAAATATTACCTTTAATAAAATATAGATCTACTAGATTTTATTGTGCAACATACAAAGCACACAAAGATATAAAGCGTTACGTGCACACTTAGTCTTCGCAAAACAGTTGCATTACAGACTCTGGTTGGGGCTTCTACAGGATTAGGTAACATCGGTTCTGATCTCATGTTGCTCAAAATACCATTTTAGCATTAAAAAAACTTTAGTTCTATTATATTGCTTGTTGATCAGATGGAAACAAGAAACACGGAGATTTTTTTTCTTAAAACTAGCCTCAAGTTCAGTGGAATGTCATAAATGAGATGCTAAGTCAAGGGTGTTCTGATGGTTGAAAACATGCCCTTTATCAGAGTGGCATCAATGAGGGCTGACCTTGCCCTTCAGCAAGGGGACATTTGGCAGTGTATTTAGACAGTTTGGATGTCCCAGGAGAGAATATAATGTTAACAGGATCTAATGGGTAGCGGTAAGAGATGCTGCTAAACAGCTTACACTGTCTAGGACAACCCCAAACGCAGAGTAGCAATGGTGTTGTGGCTCAGAAACCCTGATTTAAACATCTACCCCATGAATTAATCATCTTCCATCAAGATTTGTATGGCGACATTGGTATTTTGAAAAAACAGAGAAAGTTGTGAGAAGACAAGTGCAACTCAAACACTCAGGCAGGAGGGAAGAGCTACACACCCTGGTGGGAAGAGGCTGAGGCTGACCCAGGGTGGGCATGTTCTGTGGAGTTCTTGTCTCACTTCCCCATGGGGCTGGAGCACTGTGTGGTAATTGCTGCTGTCACCATAAGACAGACAGTAGTAGTCAGCCTCGTCCTCAGGCTGCAGCCCAGAGATGGTGAGGGAGGCAGAGTTGGAGGAGCTGTCGATGGAGCCAGAGAACCGATCAGGGACCCCAGAGGGTCTTTGCTTATCCTCATAGATCACAGTGGTGATGGCATTGCCCGGGAGCTGCTGGTACCAGTGCACGTAACTGCTGTCAATGCTGCCACTGCTGCGAGTGCAGGAGATGGTGACCGTCTGCCCCGGAGACCCCGACACAGAATGGGGCTGAGTGAACACAACCTCAGCCCAAGACTCTGCAAGAAGGGAACAACACAGAGATCAGTGAGGACAGATCAGGGCTGGTTCCCAGAGAGAAGGCAGAGGCCATCATCCCAGGTGACATCCAGGAGCCCTCCCTGAATTCGCTACAGGCAGCCACCTGTGCAGTGAGCCAGGAGAGTGAGGAGGAGTGGAGCCCAGGCCATGGTGGAGATGCCTCAGGCTCTGCTTCCTGAACCACAGCCAGGGATGAGCCACCAACCCTCCTTATCTTTCACTGTAATGCTCAGGGTGGGAGGTCTCCATGCAAATGTCTCCTTTTCTGGAGCCTGCACAAGCCCCTCCTTTGACTTCAGACTGGCTCTGTCTAAGAAATGGAGAGGCTGTACAAGGATAAGGCCCTACGCCCCATAGAGGGCACAGGAACACCTGCAGGTGGGGGGAAAATAGCTGGGGAGCTGGGGAGCCTGAGCACTGCTTAAACCACAGAGCCCTCTGGTGGATGCAGAAGCAACGTTGGCCCTGGACAGATGCTGGTTCCCAGGGCCCCTGTCCTTCCATCCTGCACTCCTCACAATTTCAGCTGCTGCCCAGGGGGTCTCTGCTCAGCATCCAATACTGACTGTACTTCTAAACTGTCAAATCTGTTCAGATTAGCAAAAAGCTAGTGGAGCCAGTACTCTGGTTAAAACATTTAGATTCACTTTGTGTGGTTGGAAGTGATGAATATCAGAGAAAATTGGCTCTGTTTAAATGAAACAAAAGCAATGTCTCTGTCTTTTCTAGGAAGGACCACACATGGTAAGGTCATGGACCCTTCACTGAGAGGAGACCAGACCCAGCTTTTCAGGCAGGAAGATGGAGAAACCCTGGAATCAGGGGTCATATGTCACCGTCAGAGACACCAGGAGAGGAGAAAGACTCTCAGGACACAGAGAGGGGTGGGCCCAGGTGTGAGTCTGGGAAAATTTAATTAGATCTCTTAATCAGTAAGCTTCATGAAGGTAGAATAGAAAGTCAATAGACCAGAGAGCTTCGAAAGAGGCTTGGAGTGAATTTACACAGCTAGTGATGAATTGGCTTCCTTGGTAAGGTTTAAAAAAGTCAACATAACTTTGAAGTTCTCATTTGTGGACCTGTTGGGCGTTATGCTGCTCTCATAGAAGATATTTTTTAGGACCTGCTTAGGGTGCTGTGATGAGTGTGTTTCTCTGTTTTGGAAAGCTAGATGCCAGGTAGTGATGCAGATGTCAACATAAAAGAAAGCTCTGCAATGCTTAAACAGCTGGCTGTGCCGTCATGGGGGACTGTGTGGGGATGATGCATTAAATGATTAACATGGAGCTATGAGAGCATCTGCTACTTTAAGGGGATACAAAGCCACCAACACTCATTTTACATTTGAGGAAACTGTAATTTATTTATTTCACTAATATGTTATGCAAGTATTAGTGAAAGGCATATTTTAAAAGCACATGCTCCCTCTGCCTGATGGCAGGTGACAAAGTCACATGAATATCAAGGAGGGGACTCCACTCTCAGACCATTGCTGTGCTCACACCCATGGGTGCCTTAGTAATGATGGTGCTTTGTCACAGGTCGTGTCACCTGGGCAAGGGCACTACGCCCTCACCAACCGAGGGCCTCTTTGCTTGTTAAACATGTCACACTTTCTGCTCTAACCTACAATGCCTTCTTTCGTCATTCTCCCTCCAATTTGACTTTTATTCCCCTTTCCATGGCCATGACATGATGTTCAAGATCAAGGACATCAAAGAGAACTTTTCCAACATTTCCCCCCAATCTTACACATTTGGGAAATTTGTGGTGGAGGACCAACATTATCAACTTTATTTTTTTCAGGCTTTCTTTTATTACACCTGACATCTGCAACTGTCTTCTCATATAGTTTCCATGTATTTTGAATTCTATGTTATGGGATTATCTGCTCATTTACTGAAATATTTTCAAGGACATATTTACATGTTCCTGGGAAATATCAGACATTTATCTTCTGCAGAAAGAGTCAGAGATGTATAAAGTGTGCGTTTTTCAAATATAGGAAGGTTACTTTAAAAGTTGATTAATGTCTAAAATGGGACATAACAAAGAAATGAAGACATATTTTAAGACAAAAGTGTATGTTTATTCATCAAAGCATGGTTTATGCTGTGAAGAAACAAACGCTACCAAAGAGCCTTCTCCGATGTGAAGGACTTCGTGGACCATTAGTCCCCTTCTTGCTGTTTGTCTACCTCAGATCTGACCTCTTTGCATGAGTGAGAAATGGAATGAGGACCTTTGGGAGGGCACATGAAACTCCACACATTGATTACCTTGGGAGGGGTCTCTTCTCCATAGATGACTGTTGTCCAATCCCTGTGTTCAATACACAGAGGTGAGCCAGGCTCTGCATCCCAGTTCTGGACAAAGACAGTGTGACACTTAAGGAGGTGTGAGAGGATAAGCAAAGACAAAAAAGAGAAAAAGTGCATTCAGAGGGGCATGCAGGAGTGTGGTCCAGGGCAGGGCTGTGACTGGGAAACTGACCAAAGGAGAGTGGGCTCCTCACCGGGTCCCAGGGAAAGTCAAGATGCTCTTCACGTGCCTGAAAATGACAGGGTATTAGGGCTGGGAGGAGCTGGTAAATGCCCTGAGGGACAGGAGCTCTGAGGTTTGGGGCCCCCTGGAGAGGATGAAAAGGCAACATGAGGAGAAGCAGGGGAAAGAGAAACATCCATGGCAGAACGAAGGACACCTTGGCCTGGTTCACTTGGGATCTGCACAGAAAGATCTGCCTTCCAGGGGAGGCCCCAGGCACATGCAGAAGTGGGTGGAGTGAATGTGTGAGGTTGTGAGGCACTGGATGGGCACACAGAGCCCATGGGGAGAATGACCTGGTCACAACACGGTCCAGGACCAGTTCACTGAAGCCTCTGGGCTCACACACCTACCGTCTGTCATCCTCATGTGACTTCCAATATGAAACAATCCGACGCCCTCATCTTCACAGCACACCTCACAGCCCCCTTCTTAGTCACAGATCTGTGTCCCCACTTTCCCTTCCCAATGCTGTGGTCACTACCGGGGTTGCCTGAACTGTGCTGATTTTGCTGCTGCTTGTCAGTTCTTCAGAATGGGGGCAGATGGCAGGTCAGGAATTCTACATGGGGTGAGGGGCCATCAACCACCTCATTATATGTGAGGGCAAGAACCTGCCGCTGAGCTGCACTTGCCTAGCAGGCAATGTTCTCATGTGGATTGTGTATTACAAGTGAATGTCCATGGATCCACGTGGGGATGCCCAACACAGCTTCCTGGGGTCCACAGTGGGGTCTGGGGATTCTTAGGTCTTTTCTACCCTTTCTCCTCATCTTTGTGCAGTAAAGCCCCTTCCTGCAAATGTGTTGCTGCCATGCTCTCTTCCCAGTTCTGACCTGTGCTGTGACTGAGGATTGGTCTCTTCTTTGGATAGAACTTCCATTTGGGGTGGAAAAGGAAGAAATAACTTTTGTCATTCCTATGGGATGAGAGCAGTTCCAGCTAAGGGACAGTCACATACCCATGGGGAAATTGTAGCCACTCCTACTAGAACAGGCTCAGCCAGTTGCCTCCTGGAAATTTTCTCTCTCGTCAGACCCATGGAAGCTCCTAAGGGCCACAGAATCACAACCCTCTACTTTATGGACTGACACAGCTGAACACTCCAGGAAGGTCAGGCTTCATCTGATGCCTTTTCCCAACTCCAGGATGTGGTGGGGACATCTCAGAGCTCTGTCTCCAGAAGCTCCACTGTGGGGAGGATGCCCACCCATAAGCTGTGTTGTATCTCCTGGCCAGGCTCTCCTAGGTGCAGAATCACTCCCTCGATACACACCCTGGATTCTCACCGTGTATTAGCACTTCCTCAACAGACTTGGGCAATGACTTTAAAGAGATAAGGGAGAGATGCCTGAAATCTGAAGAAACAGAATTGGAAAGGCAGACTCAAGAAGTGACAGGGTAGTGGGGCCTCACAGGTGGAGAGGACAGTGATTGGTCAACTTCCCTAGTGTCAGTTAAGTGGTTTACAAGCTGTCTGCGCACTAAATAACACAGTAACTTTTCCAGGTGTCGCTACCTCACAATAGAGTGAGAAGGCTCCTCCGCACATCCATCATTGGAAGAGTGACGCTCTTATGCATGGATTTTTATCTTGATGAACAATTATCCTTAAAACAGCTATATACGTTTTCTTCGTTTTTTTCAAAATGTCAACATCTTTGTCAACTGTGTCCCAAAGCTCCATCTTCACCTGCTCTCTCCACACGCTGCCCTTGGCTGTTAGAAGACAGTGATGAGGCAAAAGAAGAGCACGCGTGGGAACGCTGTCCTTTTTGTGTGTGCTGTTGAGGGTGCACAGTAATGTGGGGCCCAGGAGGCTTCAATCAACTGTGGTGGACAAGTTTGGATCTGAACGAGGAGTCTAGGGATCCCTGTGACAGAGAGGAAGGGAATTCTAATGAGAAGACAAGGCATCAGCCCAGGCCACAGAAGGGAGAGGCTGCTGGTGGCCCTGCTGAATGGACTCTCATGACCAGAGAGCTGGACCCTCAGTGCACTGATCCCAGCATCTTCAAATGGAATGGATAAGAAAACTCTGGAATAATAAATATTTTCTTAATTAGACATAGTGTTTCTCTTCTTACTAATTGCTAGTGCATATGCATGTTTATGCACTAGTAATTATATATATACACATATATTTTATACATCTATATATCTACTAATATAAAACAATGATGTTACCTACACACATTTGTGAATAATGGAGGCTTGCTAATTTCACTTCGTGTTTCCTTTTTGTTTTTTGTTTTGACACAGAGTCTCGCTTCATTGCCCTGTTGCCCAGGCTGCAGTGCAGTGGCGTGATCTCAGCTCACTGCAACCTCTGCCTCCCGGGTTCAAGCAATTCTCCTGCCTCTGCCTCCTAAGTAGCTGGGACTACAGGCATGTGCTACTACACCCAGCTAATTTTTTGTATTATTAGTAGAGACGAGCTTTCACGGTGTTAGCCAGGACAGTCTCACTCTCCTGACCTAGTGGTCCACCCACCCCAACCTCCCAAAGTGCTGAGATGACAGGCGTGAGCCACTGCACCTGACCTCATGTTTCTATTTTTAACAGTCCTAAATAGTGTACACTGTTGTGAATACATCCCTTGACTTTAGGGGGGGTTCAGTAAAACTGTGAGGTCCCCCTGTGCTCAGTGAGGCCTGGAGAGCTCTCGAGTTTTTGTCTCATTTCCCCACTGATCTGAGGCACTGTGTGAGCACTGAGGCTGCTGTCCCATGCTGAGCAGTAATAGTCAGCCTCGTCCTCAGGCTGGAGCCCAGTGATGGTCAGAGAAGCTGTGTTTCCTGACCTGGATGCAGAGAATCTCTCTGAGATCCCCGAGGGCCGGTTGTTATTCCTGTAGGACAGGAGTTTGGGAGCGTGGCCCTGGTGCTGCTGCAGCCATGCTGCTCCCTCATTGCCCACATTGTTGCTGTTCCCGGTGCAGGTGAGTGTGGCTGTCTGTCTCAAGCCTTCGGACACTGAGGATGGCTGAGTCAGCCCTGCCTGGACCACTGACACTGCAAGGGGGACAGAGAGGAAGGTGAGAGCAGGATCCGAATCCACTGAGGCAGGAAGTGGAGGGGCTGAACCAGAGGTGGGTGTGGATCCCGCCTGTCCCTGGATAAGATCCACTCTCACCTGCAGAGTAAGTGAGGAAGGTCAGGAGGAGAGGAGCCCAAGGCATGGTGCAGATTCCCACTGTGCTTCCTGAAGCTCTGCTTTGGAGATAGCTCCCGTAAGTCTCTTTATAGCCCCGAAACCTTCATGGGGGTGGAGTCATAGCATTTACATAAGACCTTGCCATCTGACTTTTCCTGGGCCTCCATGCCCTGGTTACTCACAGATCAGAAGGAGAGAGGGAAGAGACGCACTGACCCAGGGGTGGAGGTGGCCTGGGTCGTGGTGACCCCTGGGTCCCAGCAGGTCTGAGTTGCAGCCCAAGCCGAGTCTCGTGAGCACCCTGTTGGCTAAACTCCCCTGCAGTCCCTGAGTAGTTTCGAAGCTGGGTGGGGTCATCTCAGGAGTTTCTCCCACTGTCTCACTCTGGCCAAGATCTCAAACCCTTCTTACCTCTCTGGCACACCTGGGCCATGTGAGCCAGAGAATCATGGGTTTTTCTGTTCCTCTTCTGAACCTGCTCATGATGTTGGAGAGGGACCCAGGGACCCTGTGAAACCTAAATAACGGGTTTCTGGCAAAGCAATGCCCTTCCAACTAACAACGAGACGCAGAGAGCTTGTCGTTCACTGCGTCAGCCCCTCATGAATCCTCACTTTACTGAATCATCTGTTACAACCCCCAAATCGAGAATAGTTTTCTGTTTTATACTTTGGAATTTCATCACATAATATTGTTACTACTCTCATCACTAGACACTGAAAGACCTCTCTATGGATTTATTTCCATTTTTAGCCATTATATGTGTCCCCATCTCTTCCTAAGACACCCATTTATGTGAAATAATGTGCTTCAAGTCTACTTTCCAAAAAGCCCATTACACAGGCTTGAAGAACCCCTTATGTATGTTTCTGTTTTTAAATCAGTGGAACATTGCTTTTTTCTTCAGAGTATTTGATTTTTTTTAATTTGGTGAAAGTTTTTGTTGTTATTTTTCAACTGATAATTATATTTTCATCCACAATGCGTAAGAAGTTATTATATTACTTCCAGACGGCTAGCAATTTATCTTCTATTTTTGTTCTGAATTCCATTTGTGTTGAACACCTACTTTGCTTCCAATACTTTGCTCCCAGTAAGGGTCTCTTTATAAACATGTCCTTGTGTCTCTGTATGGGTGAACTTCTGCATGACAGTGGCAAACACACTTACTCTCCTTGTGTGCAGAGAAACTTTTCCCCAGATGGCAGAGCTTGTTTATTCACCCAGCTGTGAGTGTTTGTGATTCCCCACATGCTCACTGGAATCTTCTTCTATTTTATTCTGAAATATTATTTTACCATTCCACACTCTCCATGACTTAAGCTTCATTCAGAAGTAAGTCCACAGTTGTCAAAGTACTACATGAACCCACGCTATCTACCTCTTTCCCTCCCACTGCCGACTCTAAACTAACTCTTTTCCTGTCTCTCTACCACCTGTCTTTCCCTCCACTCAAGTCAAGAAGATGATGATGGACCACGCGTGAGACTGGGTGGGACTAGGGTAATGGGCTGGATAAGGGGGCCAGGCGAGCATCTTGGGTCTGCACAGCCACCTCTGCTTAGACCCACCCGCACTCCTTCTCAAGGACAGCAATAGAAACATAAGGGAATCTATACAACTTTATCTAGTCACTGCTAAAATTTTTTTAGTGTCTTCATGTAAAAGAAAATTCCAATATTGATCATGGTCTCTTATAGTAGTGCATTTTGACACTATTTTCTTAAGTATACTGTCTACTTTGTTGTTTTTAAACCTGGAGTTTATAGGTTTTGGTATTTTGTCAACATTAGAAACTGCTACATTTTAAAGTGATTTCTGAAAGCATGTGTGAGAAACATAAATGTTGATATGCTATTTGCACATAAAACATTTGTATTTAACAAGCTTTAATTCAATAATTTATAAGAACATCAGAATGATATAATGTCTACTTGGTAGATAAACATAGCAACTAAAAAAATAAAAGTATTGATTGAAATGTAAAATGTTTTACACTTTTGCTTATTTCTCACATTGCTAGAAAAATGTGGTCCATTATGTTTAGAAGCCATAAACACTCTATTGTTCCACATTATAAATAAAATGATTCTAGTGGTTCAACCTTAGGGGTATCTTTTTATTAGATATAAACAGACCATTACTAAGAAATTAAGGAAGCCTCCCCATTTCTTAATTTGTCTTTCTGTGTTTATATACACATGCATATATACATATATATAAATATACACACATGCATACACACAAATATATATTATATATGTTTTATATATGCACATGTATATACATATGTTTAGATGTACATATCTAGATATTTAATAAAGGAATGGTGATTAGAATTTCCTGAAATTTCACTGAAAAACAATTTTTGTTATTAAATTATTTAATAATAAAAATGAGAGTTGGGAGGCTCAGGCGGGCAGATCACGAGGTCAAGAGATCGAGACCATCCTGGCCAACATGGTGAAACCTCGTCTCTACTAAAAATACAAAAATTAGCCAGGCATGGTGGCACACACCTGTGGTCCCAGCTACTAGGGAGGCTGAGGCAGAAGAATCACTTGAACCCAGGAGGCAGAGGTTGCAGTGAGCTGAGATTGTGCCACTGCTCTCCAGCCTGGCAACGGAGCAAGATTCCATCTCAAAAAAAAACAAAAAACAAAACGAAACAAAAAAACAGAGAAGCTAAATAAATAGCCCTTAACACATATCCATCTTTCTTACCCTGAGCATGTTGCCCAATTTTTTCTCCCTCCTCCTTTGTGAATCTTTCTATTAGAGATCCTCCTCTTGATTCCTGTCTTCTGCTAGGGAGTGTCACGTCCAGCCATAGATCTCTCCAGAAACACAAAACACAGGCCGTTGACACCATAAGGATAACAAGGAGACCCCATGCCTAGTGTCCTTGCCCCTTCACTCTTTATGGATTATTCCTGGCTGGAACCACAACCCACAGATTTCCACCTCTTCCTGTGGCTGTAACAGCAGGAGACACCAAAGGTGTGTGACCACTGGAGTCAGAATCGGATCACTTCCTTCCCATGATGCTCAGATAGACCTTACTGCCTGGTTCTCCTTCTTCTCCAGGAAGAGCAGCCCTTGGGAGGACTCCGGTGTCCTGTGTGCAGGGAGCTTGTGGGGAGCAGGTTAGCCCGTAGCTAAAGCAGGGATAGAACAGACTGCACAGGGCCTGAGGAGGGCAGCAGAGCCCACAGCCTTGGTGTGGGAGGAATCCTCAAAGGAAGCACAGTCATGTTTTGGGCCTCCAGAAAGACAAGGACTTCTGCCTGGATGGCAGGAACCCAGCTGATCAGTCTGGACTGCTCCTTTCTTCTGCCGGGCAGGGCTGAAGACAGTTTCTCTCTGACCAGCTACTGTGGACCCAGAGTGATGACCAGCCTGAGCCATAAAATTTGTGCCCGTGTAGGGGTGCTCCTGCTGAGAATGTGGCAGCAGCAGGTATGACCACAGTGCAGGGAGCTGGAGGGACATGGCCAGTTGCTCCATTTCTTTCTCCCAGAGTTTTTCAGGGAAACAGCACTGAGAAGTCATAGGCTCCTTCTCTAATTGAAGCCTTTGACTGCCAGTTGATATCTAAACCTGCTATTTTTTCAAAGAACATGTTCATCATCCTCCAATGACTGTGTAAATATCTCAACCCACATCCCCCCAGATGGTCAAGGTGATTCCTCATTGAGATAACATGGACTATAATTGCTAATACTCTGAGAAATTTCTGCTTCAATGTTCATTAAGATGTCTTGTATTATTCAAATCTGTTTCTGTTCCTGCTGTGTTTAGTTTTATTTTTGCTGGAACATCAAAATAAGCATGTGTGTTTGTGTTTGTGTGTGTGTGTACGTGTATGTGTGTGTTTATAAGACTGTATAAATGGCAGCTAGCGTCCTGTAACCCAGCACTCAGGAAGGAGGTTTAGGAGTGGTGGATACAGTGAGATGACAAGCTACTCATGCCCAGATGATAGGACTAAAACGCCGTGGAATGTGCACCCAGAAACTCTTGATCTGATCCCTAAAGGAACTCCTGGTCTAATGACCAAGGATTTTGAAGTGGAGTGAGAGTCTGGCCATGCTGGAGAAGCCCCAGAGTTCTTCGTCCCGAGTCTAAGTTGTTGAGATGGAAACTTCTCCAAATCAAGTGTTTCTTTCTTTCTTTTCTTTTTTTTTTTTTAAAAGATAGGGTTTCACTATGATGGCCAGATCACCTGAACTCCTGACCTCAGGTGATCCACCCAACTCGGCCTCCCAAAGTGCTAGGATTACAGGCGTGAGCCACCGCGCCCCGCCTGTTTCTCATTATTTGCCCAGGAAGCATTGTAGTTCAAGTTTCTTTGAGCAAATTTGTTCCTGCTGTGTGGTTTGTCTCTGCTCGAACAACAGGCTTGGACAGGAACTCCATGAGGGTGGAGGATAAAATAGTGAAGTATGGGTGTGTGTTAGAATCTAGTGCTCAGTGGCCCTTGAAGTGTAGAAAATGCCTGCTGCTTGGTGGTGCAGGTGCAGAAAGGTCATACTTCAGTGAGGACACTGCTTGCTGAAGCGTGTGAGAGCCAGTAGAGTATTCCTGTGTGGCCTGGCCCAGAGCTCTGCCCTCTCAGGAACAGTCCAACAGCACCTCCTGCTGACATAGGATCCCAAGTCAGCTGGTCCTTCAGACACTGACCCAGCTCTTCTGGAAGGGCATCCTGACCATTGCAAATGGATCTTTCTACTCTTGACCTAAGGGAGTAGAATGAGTCGGTCCTCTCTGCAGTGTTTACAGCTGAGACATTGTTTCTTTCATGTTAGTCACGGCCTACAGAGAGCTAATCACAGGATGTGTTTCAGGATGCACAGTGATGACTGACAAGATATCAGCATAACCAGCCATGTGAGTGTTGCTCCCAGAGGCCTGTGGTCATCACCAGTCCGTGGTCATCTAGAAGCAAATCTAAGGCTTAATGCTCTGCTGAGACTCCAGGTGCTTCACACCTGGGGATGATTCTACATGGGCTTCTTTTAGAGTTAGACTTATTTTGCTATTGTTGTTCTCATTGTGAGGGTCCCTGTGAGATTCCTTCAGCTCCTACTGTACAAGCCTTGGCATTATATCCCGTAAGAATGATGCTGTCAGAAAAAAAGTGTCTCTTGCTCTGTTTTGCCTCTTAGTTCATTTGCTTTTTAATGTTATCCTGGCAATACCTCTTTTATTTTGACTATGTAACATATTGAAGGTATTTTACTCTAATTTTGTAATTTTCCTCAACAGGGGGATTGATATGAAAAGACCGTTCTTACAAATGAAACCCCTCCTTCCTTTTCAGATGTTCTCCCCATACTCCTGGCCCAAGGAACCCTCATGTCCCATTTCCCCATCCTCATTGAATGTTGATTTATTTTATTCATTAAAAAGCTCCCTGGATTTAATGGGGAGTAGAAAGTCTAAGTCTCAGAGAACTTCAATTTATCCAACATCTTTTCAACCAAAGAACCAGACAGAGACAAGCACCAGAAATGTGGGGTCAAAGTGGAGGCTCGAGGCCTTAATGGCTCCGAGAGCTGGGTCCTTACTGCAGAGGGGCCGCCCTGCACCTGGGAACACAGAAGCTCTTCCAGAGGCAATCTCAAAAGAAAGAGAAACCCAACTTCCCTGTGGGTTCAGAGCCCAAAGGGTCATCAGCAAAGTCACGGCCAGATGTAGGGGATATGTGAAGGCCATGAGGGCCACACCTGCCAAACTTCTGCTACCCTTCTCATCCCACCAAACAATCAGGAGGGCTATCTTTGTCACTGTGGACATAGTGATTTTGTTTTCATTGGGAGACCAGTAAGAAAGAGAGTCTTTTTACTGAACCCATAAAGATAAACAGAAAACACCATTAAGCCCTCTGGGTTCTGTAGCATATGTGATATCACCAGCAAAAACCTGGGCTGATCTTGGTCATATTCATGCAAACAGGCAGAAAGAGGACAACAATGGATCTGACAGAAGAATTGGAAGGCCAATTTCAATCTGATTTTCTCATATGACGGTGACTCTTGGTGGCATCAGCTTGAATGCAGCTGTGTTATGATCATCAGACTTGTCCTTGGGCTAGAGACCAGGACTGTTCAAGGAGACTGTGTGCAACATTTCACGTCCTAGTGCCTCATCCCGGGAGCACAGGGACCCTTGAGCAGCCCCAAGCACAGCCCACCAGAGAGGGAGAACAAAAGAAGACCTATCTTCTCTGACCCCTTATAGAGCAGTGTCCATGCTGCAGCCAACTGTTCACCTGCATGGATGGTCTCTGGGCTCTGACCAAGGAAGCTAGGAAAGTTGATTTGCTCTCTTTATGGGGCATGGATGGCATGGAGGTGCATTTTTATTCATGTGTTTTGTTTTCTTTCCTTTTTGCCTAAGACTTCAGAAATAGTGTTTAAGGAATTGGGAGGCATGGCATCTTTTTCCAGAACTCCTTACAGTTTCATGACAGAAACAAAGCACAGTCTGGGACCTTGGGCAGGATGGAAATTTTGTGCCACTTCCCAGTATGACTGGGTCTCTGTAAATAGCACTTTCTGATCAGATCTGACCATCACAGTCAGCCTCATGCTCAGACTGGAGCCCAGAGATAAACAAAAATCCAACACTGGCCAAGGCATCTTTGGATTCAAACAAGTGGCTGGAGACCCTGGAGCCCTGGTTTGTATTCAATTTCAGATGGAGCTCACTAAACAGCAGGGAAGGCTCATCAACTTTCACTGGTCCAGTGCAGACCATTTCCACTAACACTGATGTTGCTGCTCAGGGTAAAGGTGAGTTTGGCTGATGTTTTCAGGGATGCAAGGAGAGAGGGTGGCTGAGTCAGCACGGGCTGGAAGAGGGAATCTGCAAACACTCATATGCATTGGAAATGGGGCCCCAGCCAGATTCAACTCTGGGGACTCTGAGTCTATAGGCTGACATAGACTGGAGATCTGCTCTGAGTCTTGAAAGCCTGTCCCCAGCTGTACAGTGACAGAGGAGCACATGGAGGAAATGATACCAGGCCCTGGTGGACACAGCCCTGTCCTGAGGCTCCACAGTGGGTTTGGGCTGCTCCAGGCTGTGGTATTCTCCCACTGCCCCAGGGGGAGAAAGGCTACTTATGTAACATCGCCCCTGACTTTGACCTTCCTGGATCCATTAGATCCAAGCTAGCCACTGATTCAGGAGGCTAAGAGGGGACTTGAGATGGAGGAAGCTGAGGCTGCTGTGAGTGTGAGCCCAGGAGGGTCGTGGAGGGAGAAGCTATCAGGAACACACACTGGCCCCTACCCAGCAGCCTCTGCAATGCCCTGAAAGCACCAGGCCACTGGGTCTCACCATGAACACAGGGGCAGCTCTGCCCCTGCCAGCCTGAGACCAGTGGGGCTCCCTCCACCATGAAGAATCCCCAGGCAGGACCTGGGACCATTCACAGCACCCACTGCTGGTCATAGGACCACCTTCAGTGTCCTCAGGATTCTGGTTTTTAGTGCCCTTGGATGTGCCACCATCAGTGACTGAGTTGAGACAGTGATGACTGAGATGTCTGTGCAAGCACCACGCTTGGATCTAACTTCAGAAGTATCAAAAACTGCCTGTCATTTTAGAGGCTTCAACTCAGGCAGAATGCCTAAATACATACACAGTCTTATAAATATTAGGAGCTCAATGAAACAGATAAAACAGCGTGTCTCTCTCATCACTCAGACATTTCGAGAACTTCTCAGAGGGGGCACCCTTGTAATTCACTTGTGAAGGACAAGTGGAGAGCAGTTCTCCTGGTGAAATAGCAGAACACAGAAAGGAATGTGCTTTCTTTCTATGTCTTAGCCACTGGCTTGGGAGAGCTCATGTGTGGGAGTTCAGGGGCTGTGAGGGGCTCTGGCCTACAGAGGTCCCAGGCATTCTCCACCATTATGAAGTGGCCTCAGTGTTCATTTTAACCTGGCTGCTGCAGGTTCGTTTTTACTATTTCACCACAGTCTTTAATGTAAAAGTCACAAAGGCACCTCGATGTTTTTGGTCAGGTTACAGATTGCAGGAAGTGCAAGAGACCACGTAGGAAATACTGGCCCACACCTTCAGTTCTGAGGTCATCACTATAGCAGCTGGACCAGGACACATACAATTGATATTTTATAGTGTACTTGCTAATATTGCAACTACACTATATTTGCAACTACAACTAATATTTGGTGTCTTTTTTGCTAGGAGAAGAGGATGCTATCCAGAAAAACTGTCTTCTGCTCTTGCTTCCCACTCTGGGTTTCTCTTTGTCCTTCGTTGTTAGCTTGGCACTCGTTATGTTCCTGTGACTCTCTGACATCACAAAGATTTTTGAATCTGTTTTTAAATTGCCCTGGGCATGGGGCTTGATATAAATATAATATAGCTACAAACAGACCCTCCTCTTTAGAGGTTTTTCTTCCACTCCTGGTTAAGGGGTCCCGGTGGCCTTTCCCCCCACCACACTCACACATGTTGATCGCTGATCAAGGTTGTCTGGTAAATGTTTCATAACTGACAGTGAAGAATAACAGGATGGTTGGGAAATGTTCATGAATATTGAGATCACCTGTGACAATGTAGGTTGGAACCATAAGCTCTAGGCCCAAAGAACTGAGGTTTATTCAGGGCCATTGCAAACAATTGATTTTAAAAAACATACAGAGGAAGAATAACCAGGATTTGAGAGACTAAAGTGGGGAAATTGAGTATGTGTGGTTCTGAGAACCGACTCCTGAGAACCATGGGGAGCTTACATGCTATACCTGAGAATTCAGAACATCCTTGAGGGTGTAATCTAAGAAGAAAGACAGAACCCAACTCTCCCACAGTTTTGCTGCTCAGGAAACAGCAAGAACAGCTGCACCAAAAGGAGGGGACACCTGTGGGCCAGGTAGAAGACACCTGGATCTCTGGGTCACACAGGCTGGATTCGTCTTTCTTCTTGTCTCCACCCCATCCACACCCACCATGTATGGGCAGCTTCTTTGGCTTCAAAAAACAAATTAAATTTGTTTGCATTTGGAGACCAGTAAGCAAAGGAGTGATTTTCACTGAACCCGTGCGCTGCTTTCAGAAGCACAAGTGACAGCAGAAGCCCTAGCATGAACTGGTGTTGGTCACAGGGATAGGGGAGGGATGGGGCAGTCAGCAGGAGTGGGGGCAGATCTTTCTCTCACTTCTCCATGGAATTGAAGCCCTTGGTGACATAAAGTCTGGGCACAGCCGTGTGACAGTGATAATCAGCCTCATCCTCAGGCTGGAGCCCGGAGCTGGTCAAGGAGGCTGTGTGGAGTAGAAGAATCAGGCTGGGAGCCCTGAAGATCCATGACTGCTGACTTAGGTCACGAACTTAGGAGCTCTCTCTGGGAGGGAGGTAGCCATTTCCATGGGAATACCCAGTGTTTCTGCTGCTCCCCAGGCAGGAAAAGCTGACCTTGTGATCTGGACACTGGTTTTAGCACATTTGGACAACAAGACAGTATTTCAGTGTCATCAGGTCGTGTTGTTTTGTTTTGTATTTTCTGAGACTTCAGAAACAACACATGGAAAATTGAGAGGAGCCTTTTACAACTCGAATGTACTTACAAAGACAGTTTGTGTCTAGGCGAGTTATTTTAAAATTTGAAAATTTTCACAGAACAAGAGCAAGAAAGGGTGAGGTTTTTGTCCCACTTCCCCATCTGTGTGTGTCACTGTGAGAAGCACTGCTGTGCCAGATCACACAGTAATAGTCAGCCTCATCTTCAGACTGGAGCCCAGAGATGAGTAAGAGCCCTGCGTTGGCAGAGGCATCTTTGGATCCAGAGAAGCGGCTGGGGACTCCAGCACCTTGGTGCTTATCTGAGTCTGTGTGGTAGTACAGGAGATACCTGGGAGCGCTCTCTGACTTCTGCTGGTACCAGTATATAGCTTTGCCACCAACACTTATGTCACTCCTAAGTGTGCGGGTGAGTCTGGCTGAAGCTCCAGGAGATCCAGAGAGAAAGGCTGGCTGAGTCAGCACAGGCTGGGAGAGAGAACCTGGAAATGCAGACACTCGTGAGAGAAAGGCAGGGACGAGGGTAAAGCTTTTCAGAGATCTTTACCAGAAGGGCCAGAGGAGGGCTGGGTGGTTGCCCCTGGTCTCTGAGGTCTGTTCCCACCTGTGCAGTGAGAGATGATCAGGAGGAGGAGAGGAGTCCAGGCCATGGTGGACACAGCCCATGCACCCACAGTGGGACTGGGCTGCCCCTGGCCTCCTTTTCTGGCCACCCTCCGCAGAGGAGGAGCTGCTCATGCAAATGTGTTTCCATCCATTGGCTGCTCAGCCCCTCCCTGAGCCTGTGGCTGGAGCTCAGCTCACACTGCTGTCTGAAGAGGAGGTAGATTTGCATTCCTTCTTGTGAGGGCCCAGGGAGGAAGCATCTGTTGAGACCATACAAAGGCTGCTGAGTCCTCATCAGTGAGCACAGTGCCTTAGCTCCAAGGCCTGCATTTCTTTGAGTGGATGGTTCCTACGGAGCATCTGAGTATGAACCACAAGGCAGTCTCACAGCCTCCCCATGCTGGTTGGAGGACACAAAACTCTGTGGTCCAGCTGGTCTCTGCAGCTCACCCGTCACTATTCAGAGATCCATGGTCTGATTCCTGGACACTGATTCCGTCATGCTATGCACGATTACTGTGATCTCCACTTACAGAAGAAGTCCTGATCCACAGGGCGTGGACATAAGTAAATATACAAATTTTAAAGGTGTCAGCATCCACAAAGTATGTTCTAGAAAAATCTAATTGCCCACTGTGCCATCAGTGTGGGCATCACAGTAAAAGGGTCAGCTGAGGAGCTAGGTTGAAGGACAGGTAAAGGCTGTCCAGGAGAACAGCAAAAAATAAAAATTTTCAAAAAAAATGTGTGACATGTTAAAAGCAAAAATTCAGCAAAAATTATATATACAACGATTTCACATATTTTACAGAGATTTGACTCAATTTAATGCTATAGGAAAATTAATAGATTTGGCAGACTTACTTTTAACGGTGAACAGTACGACATATTTTTCTGCTTAATTAAATTAACCATTATATCCTAAGTAAAATGTCATTTTCTGCAAAGTTGTTCCATATTTTCTGGTCAAGAATTTGTCCTAGATATTATACAATTTGTTTGTATTGTGATATCCCCACATATATTTTCCATAGGAATCAGACCATGGATGGGCGAACAGTGATTGGCAGCTGCAGAGAACAGCTGGGCTCTCAAGACTTTGGGCCAAGGAGAGTCGTGTGTAATATACACATTTTTATGTCTATATCCTTCTCTTGCTCAACAAATGCAAAGGCAAATGTTCTTACATAATATTTTCTATTGAATGAACTTGGAATCTTGAACACAAAATGTCCAGAGTTCAAAACAAAAAATTATTACCTTGACCTCATATCTACAACTCTTTCTGAGATTCCAATGTAGGTGAACTCACATATTATTTAACAAACATATATGCAGTTGGTCTTCAGTTCAAGGCAGTGTTTTGGGCTCTGTAGATACAGCAACGAGAAGAAAGAAAACAAAAACTATGGCGATAAACAATCCCTATTCTCAGGGAGCTTGGATATGAGCAGTGGAAGCACCGTGAATAAAGCCACCAGCTGTAATGAGATGTCTTCATGTGGCTGACCCCACCCTGACGAGTTAGTCACCCTGAGGATTTGAAGCTGTGACTGACAGCTGAGAGACATTCATTTCTCTAATTCTGAAGAATTCATTGAATTGTTCTGAAGTTGGCAATGTTTTTGACAATGTATGCTGTAAATAGCCCTGTGTCAGCAGGAGGCGGTCAGTCTCCTTGGACTAACGAATGTTTGGAATCTTACTGAAGGGCAGAAATAAAACAAAATATTCCCATTCTCCAGAAGAATTCCTAAGGAGAACCAGAAAACTGAGTGTGAGGAAGAAACTTAGTCATAGATAACCTCCTTTCTGCTCTGTTTGTGATGGAAAAGAGCAGCATAGACACCATAGCATGGAAGCCTTCCCTTGGAAGGAGACGGGGAGAAAAAAGGTGGAGAGTGGGTGGATAAGAATGCGTCAGATGGGGCTGGGTCTCCTTCCCTCAGTCAGATACAGAACCCTGACTTTCCGCTGCTTTCTAGCTTTTTAATTGACCTTTACTCTCACCCATCACCAAGGTAAGCACAGGCACCATGATCCATAATAACACCTCAAAACCCTCTTGCCTCTGCTGGGCCTCAGCCCTCATTTCCCTGGACCCCCAAATCAGGGCTGCACACACTGCAAATCACTGTGCCCCCAAATCAGGAACCTAACCCTTGACACCTCCCCTCTCATGGATTCTGACCTATTTCCGGAAATGTTTGATCGTGAGCTTTACCAGCAGCCGCTTCCGTGTACAGGGGTGTCATTCCTTGTGCTACACTCTGCCCTGACCCTCAGTGCTTTCGCTCAATAGAAAGTAACCACATTTCAACTGACACAAGAACAAAAAATCAAACACCGCATGTTCTCACTCATAGGCGAGTGTTGAACAATGAACACACATGGACACAGGAAGGGGACATCACGCACTGAGGTCTGTTCTAACCCAATGTAAAGAAACTAGAACCTTGAAAAAAGATTTGACGAAATGCTAACTAGAATAGCCAGCTTAGAGAAGAACATAAACGACTTGATGGAGCTGAAAAACACAGCATGAGGACTTCGAGAGGCATACACAAGTTTCAACAGCCAAATTGATCAAGCAGAAGAAAGGGTATCAGAGATAGAAGATCAAATCAATGAAATAAAACAAGAAGCCAAGAGTAGAGAAAAAAGAGTGAAGAAAAATGAACAAAGCCTCCAAGAACTATGGGATTATGCACTGGGTTAGAACATGGTCTTTTAACTCAGAGAAGTTTGTTATTACCCACCTTCTGAAGCCTGCTTCTGTCAATTCGTCAGATTCATCCTCTGCCTTTTTTGTTTCCTTGATGGTGAGGAGTTGTCCTCTCTGGCAGGAGAAGAGGTGTTCTGTTCTTTGGTGGTTTCATCCTTTTTGGGCTTGTTTTTCCCCCAACTTCGTGGATTTATCTCCCTTTAATCTTTGAAGTTGGTGATTTCAGGAGTCTCTGAGTGGCTATTTCTCTGTTGAGGTTGGAGCTGTATCTTCTTTGGCCTGTAGGGGGCGATGCTGGGCTCTCGGGTCCGTCAGGTTGCTGGGGGGCGTCCTCCCCTGGAGTTTGTCTGCAGGTGAGAGGGGCCCCGCCTTCCCAATGGCGTCTCTCCTCCCCCAGCTAGATCTTCCTGGTTGGGGTCAAGTTGTTGTATTTGCTGCCCAGCGCTCTAGCGAGGGCTTCAGTTTGAGTTGCGGGGCCTGCCAGGGCTTATGCTCTGTTTCCCTGCTTCCAACTCTGCCTCCCTCTGTGGGACGCTCCGTCCCCCTGGCGTTAGTCCAAACGCCCCCCCAGGTCCCTGTGACAACCTGCCATGGCCACCGCAGCTGCTGCTCGGATTTGCATCGACTGCCCACAGCGCCCAACCATCGGCAGGGCTCTCGTGGACCATGGGTTGCAGGAGGGATGAGGTAAGCACAGAATCCGATTTGGAGCACCGAGGGGGTTAAGTCCCCGACCCTCCAAGCCAGCTGCACGTTTCAGGTGGGGACTCGACACCCCCACCTTCCACCCCCCCCCCAGTCTTGATTTGTCCCCCTGGGCGTCTCTCGCCCTGTGGCTCCTTCCCTGGGCCTATTTTCAGAGCCCTGTCAGCCCCACAGAAACGAACCGGCACCTCGTTTGCAATGAAGTCCTCTAGCGCTCTGCGCCTCATTTGCTGGGAGCTGCATTCCTGTGCTGGCTTCTCTGGGCCATCTCGGTGTCCCACTACTGATAGCGTCCTTTGATGCACATATAAGTTTTACAATTCGATGAAATCCAATTAATCTGTATTCCCTTTTTTCTATTTTTCCTGTACTTTTGGCGTTAAATCCAAAAAATTATTTCCAAAACCTATGTTGTGAAACTTCTTCCTAATGTTTTTTATTAAGATTTTTATAGTTGTAGCTTTTCTATCTGGGCCGTTTATCCATTTCCAGATGGCATGTGGATATACAGTTTTCTCAAAAACATTTTTTGCAGAGTCTGTTTTCTCCCTACTGAATGATCTTGGCACCCCAGTTTAAACTCATTTGACCATGTAACTGAGAGATTATTTGTGCTCAATTCTATTCTATTTGTCTCTGTGTCTGTCTGTCTGTACCACTCGGTTTTGATTGGTAAAGCTTTGTAGTATGTTTTGACATCAGGCAGTGTAAAATCTCCCACACTATTCTCTTACAAGATTATTTTGGCTATTTGGGGTTCCATGATATTCTATATAAATTTTAGAATTAACTTTTTTTACTTTTGCAAAAACGATTATTGGAATTTTGATAAAGATTGAAATGAATCTGTAGAGTTCTTTTGTTTTTTATTAATATCTCAACAATATCAAGTTTTCCAATACATGAACAAAGGCTTGCTTTTTGTTATTTTTGCTTGTTAATTTTTATTCTTTAATTTCATTTAGCAATTTTTTATCGTTTTCCTTGTAAAAGTGTTTCCCCTTCCTCATTCTTAATGATTTTATTTTTTCTGATGCTGTTGTAAATTGAATGGTTTATTTTATTTTGAGTTGTGTCCTTTCTGGTTATTTTCTGTTTGGTTGTTTGAGTATACAAATATAAGAACCTTTTTTGTTTAAAAAATATTATTATTATTATTTTTGTAGAGACAGGGTTTCATTTCATTGCCCATGCTGGTCTTGAACTGTTGATCCTCACCAATTCTTTCACCTCAGCTTCCCAAAGTGCTGAAATTATAGATATGAGCCAACATGGCTAGCCATTAGATGGTTTTATGTGTTGATTTTGTATCCAGAAACATTACCAAATTTATTTAATATTTAATTCTAAGAGTTTTTTGTTGGGAGTTTTTAATTTGTTTTTTAATTATACTTTAAGTTCTTGGATACATATGTGCAGATTATGCATGTTTATTTCAGAGATATACATGTGCCATGGTGGTTTCCTGCTGCTATCAATCCACTATCTGGGCTGTAAGCCCTGCATGCATTAGGCATTTGTCCTAATGCTCTCCCTTTACTCGCTCCCAACTCTCTATAGGCCCTGGTGTGTGATGTTTCTCCCCTGTTCTCACTGTGATGTTTCTCCATATGTTCTCATTGTTTAATTCCCACTTATGAGTGAGAGCAT